AAAGGACAGTTGAAGCAAATAATGGATCCTAATCTCAAAGGAAACATCAGGCCTGATTCTCTCAGGAAGTTTGGAGAAACTGCAGAGAAGTGTTTAGCTGATTTCGGTGTTGACAGGCCCTCCATGGGAGATGTTCTATGCAGGGCCGGCCCAATACATGTGCCACCTGGGCCTTAGTCCAGGGCAACATAATATTGGGGACATCAGTTTATAAGCACATATATACAGTATATACATATTTGACTTAAAAAAAATTAATCCAGTGAAACAAGCTGCCAGCTCCATCCTTGTCGTTCACCAAATCTGCAAGCAGTAACCCAAATTATCAAAATTCAATATCTACCGATCATTCCCAAAGTCAAAGAAGAAAAAGCAACCTAAATTCCTAAATTTTCAGGATTTAACTTCACTAAATAACGAAGAAAATCAACAAGAGGACAAACAGGATTTCACTTCACCAAATAACAAAGAAAATCAACAAGAGGACAATCAGGATTCGGTGGAAAAAAAATAGAAAATGAGATCCATTTCGAGCACAAAAAGGGGGAAGAAAGAGGATTTGAAAAAACCATTCAAGAAAAAAACCATTAGCAAGCGAAATACACGAAAAGGGAGTGAGCAAAGGCAACCATTCGATTAAAAATCCTCATCCTATTCAAAACACTTGTAACAGAGAGGGGAGGGTTTATTTTTTCTTTGAAAGGAAAACAATTGTAACAGAGAGAGGCGAAAGTCTTGTTTACCTGTTGATCGTTGGTCATTGGAGGATCGTTGGAGTTTTCATCGGAAAGACTTACGGTTTTCAAAAGGTAAGAGATAGAAAGAAGATCGATTTAGGTTCGGAAGTCTAGTTTGTTATGAACTAAGACGAGAGGAGCGGCAGTGTGAAATAATTTGGAGTTTGGATCCAAAATAGTTTTGTTTATTTAAATATAGAAGTTTTGTCTTTTAATAATTCAAAGGGCGGTATGAAATGTTGCATTCCCAACTGGATTTGATTTTTTTAATATATTCATTTTATTAAAATAAACTGAGCTGGGTTGATAGTAAATAATCAAAGTGAACGAACATGATTTTGCGTTCGTTTAATTAAATGATGAACACGAACAAAGTGCTTGTTCGTTCATTTACGTTCGATTATATGTTCGTTCATTTATATTTATGTCCATTTATTTATGTTCGTTCATTTATGTTCATTTATGTTCGAACAGAGGGCAAGTTGAATATGTTACGAAGATTATTGAAGTTGTTTGGATTTCAAGAAAATTGTTTTGTTGAACAAATTAACTTTAAGACTTTATTATGTTCATATAGCTTATTTATGATTTATGTATGTTTTTTTCGTATTCGAACAAATTAACTTTAAAGTTGCAGGTTATATTAATGAATTTTAAGTTGTTTTTCTTATTGTTTACTTTTTTTACATTCATTTATTGTGTTCGAATAAGTTTGTTTTTTGTGTTTGTGTTGTTCGTTTATATTCATTTATTGTGTTCCTTTATGTTCATTATTATGTTATGTTCGTTTGTTTGTGTTTGTTTACGTTCGTTTATATTTGTTTATTGTGTTCGTTTATGTTAATTTATGTTAGTTCGTTTGTGTTCGTTTAATTTCGTTTATCATTTAAATAAATGAGCATGAACAAGCTATGTTCCTTAATGAACAAACACAAGGGTTTCTCACGCACTGCCGTCTTCGTTCGGCTCGTGCTCGTGTACAATGCTCGTGATAATGCATGTCTTTGACACATCATTACAATAATAATAAATTCAAAAATTAAATCATAAATAAATCTGATGCACGTTAGACCATTTAGCCCCTGACGTGAAACCTATAAATAGAGAGCTTCATAATCTTCTCAACTCATCCAATTCACTCAAACATCACTAAACTCTCTCAAAACTTTCTAAGCTTCTAATTCTTTCCGGCGAGGAGCAGTGTCACCAGCAATTCACTCCGGTTGTTGGTGTACGAAAATTTCTAACTAAAAAATTAAAACACTAAGATAACAAAGATCACTAATACACATTTACTCTACTATATTTTTAGAATTTTATTAAAATAAGAATGCTAGCTTGATATGAACTTACAACCAATATTCATTCACTTATTTAATTTTCAATCACTCATCCAGATTCATCACACTTAATCCAACTCTAAAATATAACTTATCTTTTGTCGTCACATTATTCTATCATTATACTATATTAAGTTGTCACATCTTGATCATTTTATCGCATTTCAACAAAATTACTTAAACATTTTAACCAAATTACTTTAAAATTTTTAGATGATAACATGTCAATGTACACGCTACACAATATAAAACTATCATGCTCTCACGAATATGAATCCTAAGGTTTTTTCTATTAAACTAAGGTGATTACAAAATAATATATGTTCTAAATATTTTTAATCATTTGACAATGAACACCCAATAATCCTACTGCAATCACTGGTACTCGAACCCATAACATCTAAGAACAACAACGATTCATTTAACCATAGAGAGAAATTTGTTCGTACATAGATAAATATAAAATGGAAGTGCATAGTTTATAGGTTTTGAACTCGTGACCGGTTTTTTTGAATCCTAAGGTTTTATGTATACCATGATAACTTATTATGGGTCTCCTGAATCAACATGTAATATGTCATGCATTACAACACTCACTAATATAATATAACATGTGTTCATGTCCATGTTTGAGATTTAGTGGTTTGAGATGAACATAAAAATTAGGTCTCTAATAACAAGTTTCGAAAAAAATTAATCATAAGAAAAAGTAAAATTAAATAAATTTTCTTGTAAATAATTTAAAAATGGCACATCAACTTTACCGTTAATTTTTTAATAGTAGGTAATAAAAAAACAAAATATAACGATAAGTATGATTTAAAAAATAATAATAATTATATGATCAATAGAAAAAATAATATGTGAATGACTAAATCAATAATTTATCATTTTTAGTTATATATCAATTTATTATTTTGGACCCTGGGCAAAAGGAGACCGTGGGCAAGTGCCCCTCTTGCCAATGCTCAAGGGCAAGTGCCCCTCTTGTAAATTCACACATTGCTCGTAAAGATAATCTTGTAATTTTTCCAATTTTTTATTCATATATGAGTATTTTTTATTATTGTAAATTTTATTAATTCATTAAGTCGCACTGTATGTATTTTTTAGTCTTCAAATGATATTTTAGTAATTTTATTGCTAAGCTTTCACTTTTATTTTCTAAACACAAAGGGGTATATAAGATATATTTTTTTTGAATGTAAGGGGAAATTTATGAAAGTAATACAAAGCACCCACGCTGGCAGTGCTCTCCTGGAAGTCTTCAGCGAGCCACTGCTCTTCTTCGGCAACTATTGTACACCGAATGGACCTCCCCATGCCGACTTCGCCATTGCATCGGCGACCTTATTCCCTTCGCGCGGCACATAACTAAACCGTAAAGACCAATCCTGTTTTTAAAGCTTTTATTCTTTTTATTTAATATTTCAGCCTTCGAGAAATTTCAGAATTTATTAAGTCATTTTAGCCCTCACGGGTAATTTAATAATTTGGTTAAAAAAGTATTCTGGTAATTTTGTCAGTCACATAAATATTTTTTTTCTTTTCTTTCTGACAAAAGTTTATTCTCTTTATTATACCAAATTGTTTTATTTAATAACATCAATAAGGATAATTTAATAATTTATCACACTCGTAAATATATTAGACATTCTAAAATTTATGAAAATGATACTTAATTAATTATTAATGTTTTAACACCTTTTTTACACGTTCTTAGACTTTTTCATCATTTACTATGATCAAAGACATTTTGATCATTTCACTCACTCGATCTTTCATTAATACTTTACTCATAATCACTAATATCTTATGAAATTCTCTTGAAGCCTTATGTTTTCCTATTAATAAAGTTAATAATTTAATTAATTATTAAAATAGTTTTCTTTTAATTAATAATTAATATTATTATAATATTTTCATATAACTTCTAAATAAAATATATTTATTTAAAGATTAAAAACGTATTTAATATAATATATATTCCTTCATTACCATTCAATCTATAATTATTATTAAATAAATTTTAAAAAAAAGCATCTTTTCGTAAAACATTTTTTCACCTATAGGGGTGTTCACTACTCGATTTTAACTGAATAACTGAAGGAACCGAATTAGTTCGGTTAATTCGATCTGTCACCGAATTAGTTCATATCACCGAATTAGTTCAGTTGAGAAATAGTTAATAATTTTTTCAATATTCGAATAACGGTTAATTCGATTCGAAATTGATTAATCAACTGAATTAATAGAAATTATTAATTATTATATATAGTATATATATTATAAACATATTTTAAGCTCAAACCCATAAAAATTAATATCCATTATTTTTTAATCACACTAGACTCATTAAATTATCAATACCTAATTAAAAATATACATCTATTATATTTAAATTAATCTAATTATAAAAAATTATAAAAAATTTGGTTAATTCGATTAACAGACAGAAATAACCGAACTTTATTCAGTTCATTAAAGAAAAAAATCAACTAATTCAATTAATAATAATTCGATTCAGTTAGTAGTCAAATTAACTGTTTAAACACCCTTATTCACATATACTACGTGAACGTAGTAAATTCTAATGTTATTTTAAACGAATATGCATAGACTTTATAATTTGAATAGAATTCTCAACTTAAAATCTAAAAAAAAAGTCAATGAGGCGCTGCTAAAAGGATGACGTCATCTTAATGTCAGCATCCATATCCCTTGGGCTCCTCATAAGTGGCTGCCTCTGCTGCCTCTGCTCTCACCATATTCCTCTTCTCTTCATTTCTTTTACGATTCCAAAAAAAAAAAATCAAGCCAACCCGAGTCCCAGACCACGCGCCCACTCGCTATATACGGACGCCACGCATTCCCACGCGTTTTCGCCAAATTTCTCAGCGACTTACTGTCATCTCCCGACGTCATGTCGCCGCCGCTGAACTTCCCGTTAAGTCCGCTATCTCAACTCACTGTATCCAACTGGGTCGACGAGGTGCTTCAGAGTAGTAGCAGTGGTAGTTACAACTCTCCGACTTCGCTAGCGAGTTGCTGCACACCACAGAGACCGAGTTTCATTAGAAGCGTCAGTAGTCATTCCGTTGAAAATAATGAGCTTCATTGTGGTTTTGCTTCTAACCTTTACGACCTCATCGACTATGATTCTGGTCCGCTGATGAAAGTATTCAGCACCGGTGATATGCACCAGGTTAAGTTATAGTAATGAGTTCAGCACTTTAGTTGATAAAAGATTAGCTGATATGGAGTATTATCTATTCGGAAAAGATGCAGAGCTTTGATATTAAATTATTTATGATGGGGTGCAGGTAAAGCAGTGTGGTAGGACTTGGAGGGCAGAGAGTCCACTGTTGAATGAGAGTAATGCCATCATTGAAGGAATGAGCAGAGCCTGCCGCTACAGTCCCCAGGAAAAGAAACAGAGGATTCAAAGATATCGATTCAAAAGAAATCTCCGCAACTTCAACAAGAAAATTAAGGTGATCTTAAATCTTTATTACTTTCTCCTTAATTTTAATCCCCATTCTAATAAGAAATGGGTCAAAAAGATTATTTGTTGCATAAAATTATATGTTCCTCCCCCCTTGTGTGCTGCTTTTTGGTGTCTGTTATACTAATCTTGCACCCATGAATTTGTATAATTATCGCAGTATGCATGCAGGAAAACATTAGCAGACAGCAGGCCACGCATCCGAGGACGGTTCATTAGAAATAAAGAAATTCAAAACAATCCTCAAGTTGAAGATGAAGAAGATGAGATGAACTGGATTAGCTTTCTAGATATCCACTCCCAGCAGCTGCTTTTTAATCCTTAATGTTAGGTCTTTTTCTGGTATTCTAATCAAAAGGGTGTTGTAAATGTGATTGGTCACATTATTCATACGGGAGTATGGAAGATTGCAAGGTTTTGTTTTTAAAAAGTTAGCCTTATATAAATGGCAGACAAGAAGACTTGAAGAAAAGGGATTATTTTTGAGTATTTTGTTTTCTGGAACAACAGCTTTTTATCATATCCAAATAATCCATACTTCAGCCCGACCAATTACATAAGTTATATTGATATTGGAGCACATTAAAGGATCTTGTTAATCATATTTTAAAAGTGACAATGAAGTTATATCCGTTTGATGAAGATATATCTGTAATTGAAGTTATAGGATCTGATTCGTAAGTTTCAGCATTATTTCCTCTATAATCTTTGTTAACTATGTAAAAAAAATAAATTTAAACTATTTTATCATAGGTATAAATTTGAAATTAATCAAATCAAAATATATTCAAATTTCTAGAGTAAAAAAATTATTCATATTTAACTTAAAAATTCAAAATTAATTTCATGCGTTTAAAATTAAATGACCAACCGATATGTGTTTATATATAAGCATGTTTTTTTTATAATATCAAAGCATAAATGAATGGATTAATGTTGTCTAATATGCTTGTGGACATGTTAAAAATTTAATTGTTCACAAAAAAAGAGTTGAGATATAATAGAAGGTAATCTGCAACAAGAATATAATAAACGGCCAGTGGAGAAAGCTGAAATCGCCTCCCCTCAAAATCATTCGGCTGGACCATCTTAGTCACTCGATCTGCTAGCCAATTGACTGTTCCCCGCAATTGGGAGTACCTAACTGTCCAATTCCTATCCAGAAGCTCATATATATATATCGAAGAATGGTGAGTGAATCCCCCCTCAAGTTCGTCTGCTTCAACATCTTATAGACCTCGCCATTATCGACCTCAACAATAATCCGTCGGGCCCGATGCTCCAAGCATGCCTCAAACCTTCAAGGACTCCCCAGAGCTCCGCCTCCAAGACCGAGCATATACCGACAGCTCGAGCGAAACCGAAAATCCATTCGCCTCGGCTATTACGAAACACCCCACACATGAGCAATAACCCGTTTCCACGTCCCGAGCCCCATCCGTATTGATCTTCACAAAATCATCCGGTGGAGGCTCCCATGCAGTTACACCCATTCTCCCAGCCTGCAACAAATGGTCGTGTTGCACAGTAGTCAAAATGAATCTAGTGCCCTCCTCCTGCATACGTTTACTCTGATCGAGAATGGAACATAATCCCAGCCGTGAATTGGCGAACACACAAGTTCTTGTGTCATAACCGTAATTCAGGGTGGAACAATTATTTATTATTTTAAAAATAGTTACGACTTTTAATTTTAAAAAATTGGCGGTTTTAAATTGATTAGGAATAAATTGTAAAGAGTGGCCATCGACCTTTGGGTTAGGTAGGTCGAATACCTAAAAATGTCTTTTAAAAATAATTTTAAGAAAAATCATTTTTAAGACAAAAGCTGGTATGCGTTAACCAAAGATTCTATTAAAATAGGTTCGGGAGTCGGTTACGCGTGGAGAAGGATTAGCACCCCCACAGCACCCAAAATTGGTACTGTTTTGTTTACACGTTGTCATAATGGTGGAAATCCTGAATCAAATATCAAATTAAAATATGATCCAATTATTAAAATTTAATTAATTTGCTTCAAATTAATAACTTAAAAGGAAGAAATTCAAAGGACTGAAATAAAAACAAATAAATATTACAATCCTAAATACAAATAGAAAAAATATGTATTTAAATTTATAAAAAACAAAAATAGAGAAAAAAAACTTTAAGGACATAATAAGTGACAAACATAAAATAGTGGCTAATATGTAAACATTATATAACCTGAGTATTAAAGCACAATAAATCCTAAAGAAATATGCAGGACAAAAATATAACAAAGGTAAAATGTCATGCTTAAAATAGAAACATAGCGAATTATAAAACAACATGAATAAGATTACTAAAACGAAGCAATAACAACCTAAACTGCTTAAGCACGATTAAGTTAAAATACAATGGCCCATGTATAAATATAAACATATTTAAAAAATGAAACATGAATAAAATAGAAAATAAATAAATCAGGAGCTCAAAGTAAAAATTATTGGAAATTCATTGGTGGCTGAAACGAATTCATACAAAGTTACAAAGGACCTATAGTGAAATTCGACCATAAGCCAAAACACGCTGAACCCCATCCCCTTGAAACGACATCATTTCAGCTATGAATTATATAACTTACTTAAGGGTTTTTAAAAACCCTAATCCCTCATTTTATTTTCATATCTCTCAGCAGCCACCATAAACCTGTGGGGTGAACTCTCCCTAGCCTCATCGCCGTGAGAGGCAACCAAGACTCAGGCCATCGCAGATCAATGGCCACGAGACAATAACCACTCAACCCCTCCTCACAAACAACCTTTCCTTCAAATCCCGATCCCTAGAACCTCAAACCCTAACCTTATCTACCCAAAATCAACCCCCAAAATTATAAAGAGCAAGGCTTTACCTTTGGTGGGATTCACCGAGACTTCGATAGGAAAAGAAAAGGTAAGGTTTTTTGTTCAAATGACTCTCGATTTTCTTTTTTTTAGTATTTTCTTCTATTTTTTTCTTCTTCTCATCCCGAATCTCTCTCACGAATCCCCTATATATTTCTAACGTTTTTTATTTTTTCCCCTACTGGTTCCCTCCTCTCTGCTTCCAATCTCTCTGTCTTCGATTTATGGTCCTTCCCCTTGATAGTGGTGGATTAGGTTTTTTTGTTGATAAGAGATTGGGTTTATTATTTTAAGGGCCTAGTGGATTTGTTGTCTGTCGATTTAGTGCAGGTGTTGTTTGATATATGCAACGACGATCTTCGGTGGCTCGATGGCTTGGTTGATGTCTCGGCTCGGCCATGGCGCGGCGGTTAGGTTGACTGGCGGCGTTGGAAACCATTTTAGGGTTAAAACCCTAATTTGGTTTGGGTCTGATAAATTTGGGCCAGTTTATGGGCTTAGGGTCTGGATCTTGATCCGGGTCGAACTCAGGTCGGGTCTGGATCGGGTCTTCTTCTGGGTCAAATCTGGCTCTGGGTTACTGATCTGGGTCTTGTAAATTTGGGCTCCAAGATTTTTATTTTTAGCTTTGTAATTGGGTCACTGGTATTGGGCTTTGGTATTTGACTGATAGGTCTGCAAACAAAATTTGTAATAACATTAAATTAATAATAATAATAATAATAATAATAATATTTAATAATATTTTTTCGACCCAGACAAAAATGAGTGTCTACAACTGCCCCTCTTTGCATATTCTTGTGTTAACAAGAATAGGGCAAAGACGAAAAAGACAACCAATTTTTGTCTGGTTCTCTTTTTTTTGTTTTGATATTTGTTGTTTGATTTAGGAAACGACATAGCTCATACGTGCTGAAGAGTTCTAGTCCTCTAAAGGTGACAAGACTCCTATATAATGAGAAGATCTAGTCAAGGGATAACACTGCTCATACATGATAAAGATTTCTTGGCCATCTTTAGGATTGATGATAACTCAGTTCTTACGTGATGAGGACGGCTGGTTATCTAGGTTGAAATAGCTCCTACACAATGAAGAGATATGGTCGGGTGATGACACGACTCATACGTGATGAAGAGTTCTGGCCATTTAAAAGTGATAACACGGTTCCTACGTGATAAAGACAGTTGGCTATCTGGGTTGACACAGCTCCTACATAATGAGGAAATCGGGTCTGGTGATGACACAGTTCCTGCGCGATGAGGATGGCAAGCCATCTAAGGGTGATAACACGGTTCCTACGTGATGAAGATGGCTGGTTATCTAGGATTGACTCAGCTCCTACATAATGAGGAAATCTGGCCAGTTGATGTCACGACTCATACGTGATGAAGAGTTATGGCCATCTAAAGGTGATAACACGTTTCTTACATGACGAGGACGACTGACTATCTGGGTTGATACAACTCTTACATAATGAGGAGATATGGTCAGTGATGACATAGTTCTTACGTGATGAGGACGACATGCCATCTAAGGGTGATAACACGGTTCCTACGTGATGAGGACGGTTGATTATATGGATTGACACAACTCCAACATAATGAGGAGACCTGGTCAGGTGATGACATGATTCATACGTGGTGAAGAGTTTTGGTCATCCTTAGGGATTTTGGTTTCAAAAGAAATCGACTTGGAGATGATGCTTCAAAAGAAGCTGTCTCAAAAGAGACAAAATTTTGTTTCCAAAGAAACAAACTCAAAGATTTTTCTTCAACAGAAATTGTCTCGATTGAGACGATACTTTGTTTCAAAAGAAACAATCTCAAAGATGGTCAATAGTCTGCTTATTCCTACTGATTGAGGAAAATGCCTTCAGAAGATATAATAATTCGCATCAGGATGTTGAATCCCTAAAGATGCCCCAATATTCGATGTTGAATCTCCAAAGATGCCCCAATATTTGATGTTGAATCTTCAAAGATGCCCTCTATTGCTTCAGCACTGATTCTAAGCATGAACTTTGTGTCTGAGAACCATATGTCAAATACCAAGATCCACTCTAGATAGATTGTCTTGTTTGAAAAGTGCTTTTCTTCTTTCTTTATTTTCAAAAATTCTAAAAATATCAATTAGAAGAGTTTTGAAATTTTTTTAATCAAACGTTTTGAAAATACTGCCCTTTTCTAGGTTTTACAATTGAGACAAATCATAAAACTAGAGTTCATTGGATATCAAACAATTATTTACACTATTAATCCTTCAATAAATTATAGCTTTTTGACAAGTGTCAAGATCAAAGCTATCTTTGAGAAATGGTTAGGTGAAGAAATGGAAAATGTCTTAGGTTGTTATTTTTTTGTCAATGTTTGACCTTCTTGTTTCTTTGATGTTCACTGATTTGATGGGGTAGCTTGTATGCTCCTTTACTGGAAATGTTCTCCAGCTCCCAGCTCTCATGGT